TCGAATTCAATGAAAGACATCCGAGGTATATTTCACTAAACTTGATATTGTATTGGATTATCTGTAGTTATCTTTCGTTTGAAGTAAGTAATTTTTGCCCTAGCGCCCTTGCCCTGTGACTTCCGTATCGAGAGCTCCGCTTTTAGGCAGTGCGTAAATATATATCTTACATTTTTACTCACTAGAGTGCATTCAGTCAAACTGTTGAATAGTGTACGTCACCTAAATTAGATAAGTTAGTTACTATTTTAGGTGACCTCACATAAATTTGGAACTACGAGTAAACAGCTACTGAGATCAGGGGGAAAACGATGATACAAATGAATGTCTATTCACTCATTCTCTGGTAAAACAACCCCCCGGATTAGCATGACCGTTATTTGGCGCACTATTCAACAGTTTGACTGAATGCACTCTACCTCGCTTCTCATTGGCCGAGAGCCTACAATAAAACCCCGATGTCATGTCATGGACTCGACAGGATAAATCTATTCTGCAAATCAAATCGCCATGTTTAACCAAAATACTTCATTTCTTTTGCCCGTTTTCGATATTCCGGTTGAATGATCGAACACGAAATGATCTGAATATATCGAGGCTAGCTCCGGGGATCAATTCAAAACAATGATGCTATTCTATTATTGTTTCCCAGAGCCTCCACTCAAAATGTTTGATACTTGACCACTCAACCAAATTAAATTGACGAAGTTGGCTATTGCGACATCATATGCCAAACATTATATTGTGTTTGTGTCGAGAAAAAAGCACAAGGGAATTTACTTCCAGGTAAGAAATCCATTTATTAGCGATAGTTTAGTTTGAATATCAAAGTTCTAATGATTTAGATTTTGCTCAGGATGAGATAACAACACATCCTCTATGTATTTCCGCCTTGATGCTTACCTTATACTTCTCGATTATAGTTAAAATAGCCATTTTTTCTGCTTCACTAAACCCTTGAGGTAGTGGTATGTTGCGAATGAGAAATGGTGAGTCACTTTTCTGTATTGGTGTAAACCTATAACAAGCACAAAGGTTAGTTGTGCCTACTTTCACAAAACATCTAATTCGTCCAAAGAAGGTCTGTTCATTGAGGTTGTATTCTATAACAGAACAGTCGGTTTTTTTTTATACGGTCAAGCCGATATAACATAGAATAAACCTCTGCTCATCCTTATTTTCAAATATGGAAAAAATTTCTACATTTGTCCGTTCTTTTTTGAGAAAATTAGCAAGGAGATACATTCTGACTAGAGTTAAAATGTTATCTGATTCAGACGATTGTTTATTGTATTTTCTTGACAAGTAACCTTCTTCAATTTTAATAGCAGCTTTGCTTCTTCCACTATTATAGTTAGACAGTTTTTTCAATGTACTTTTCACTTCGTTTGGCAATGTGTTGTCTGCCATGGTCCGTTTTGTAAAATGCGTCAAGCCATAGCACAAGCCAAGAGCACATCCTATTTGTTCCATTGCGTGATGTGTGCCATGGACAAGAGGTTTGAGATAAGCATTCATGCTTTCAAAAGCAAAGCAGCTGTATGCCCACAAAGGCCCCCTTCTTTTCACATAGTTTGCTAAATGTTGCAAAAGATGGATATTCATGGTGCAATTTGTTTTCTCATAAAGAATTGTCACCAAAAAAACAAAATCTTGCAACATTGCATCAGCTTGTTGTAATTGAAGTTGACTGATGGAATCAGAGGTCAAGATGGCCAACGCTCCTACTAGAAGTGACCAATGCATTATAAGTATAAAGGATGCAAAGTTGAATACATTACTGGTATTGAGTAGTGTAATAGCCAGTTTTTCAGTTCTGTAGCTTTCCAGTGTGATTCCTCACTCAATGATCTTGGATTTCGTCCAATAATATCAGGAGGCTTGATTGCTATAAGCCTTTCCGAGAGAATCTTTATTGTATTTGTACCACCAATACAATATCACTTGGTTTTGTTGTTTATTATTAACAGATTCATGACATACTTCACGGATCGAAGTGCTACACAATGCATCCAATCAATAGCAAATGAAAGAGTTAAATCAAAACTGTAATTCAGCCTTGCAAAAACAGAGTGGCCCCTAACAACCATTACTGCATTTTTTCGAGTTGCATCTTTTGCATACGAAAGCTGATCATTATGAGTGCTTTGCGGCAGATTTTTTTCAAGTGGCCAGTAACGATGGAGGTTGTTTATTCCATACCCTTGCCCTTCACTTTTGCAAAGATGACAGCCACATTTTGCATTATACCGTTTCATATTCATGATTTCAGCACGTGCCGGCAAATAGGCTGTGGCAACAAACAGCAAACATCGGACGTGAATTTGGCCTTCAGCACTGTTCTTAATGTCAATTCCTTTTTCATGAAGAACATTCAGTTTGTCAAATAATGGACTTAAAAAAGTTAGCATATTTGGATCTTGCTTGTCGCAGTAGATATATGCCGGTATTATGTATTTCGTCTTAAAACGGTATTCTTTTGGAAGCTCAATTATCATGAGGTACACTGGCCACAAATGACCAGCGCGTGATGAAGAAAATTTATTAACTCCATCAGGATTAACCGTAAATGATATGTTGAAAGTCTTTCTTAAAAATCCACCAGGAAGAGTGAAGTTTTAATAATCAAGCCCATGAAAAATATCATGTATTTTTGGGCCTACTGACTTTCTAATCAGATCTTTTCCTTTTCGAATAAGTTTACAAAACTCGGCGTCCTTAAAAAATTCTTTTAGTTTATTTTCAAAATGGAGATCTAGGAAAGCGTTGACTCGTTTACCCGAGCATTGCTGTTTCATACAAGCATCCTCGCTTAATAAATCTAAGCAGTTTGAACAGTACTATATTGGTGTTGGATCTTCTGTTCCAAAATACTGTATAATGCACAATTTAATTTTGTACACAGACTTAATAGTCTTGTCACATCTGTCACCAAGCAAAATGGAAATGACTAGTAGTAGAAGGTCTGCCCAGGCGATTTTGCTCAAATTGTGTTTGAGAACAAATAGAACAATAAACTGTACATAAGCTAATATTTTAGAAATTGCACTTCCTCTATAATGCGGCTCATCTGTTATTTTGGTGTTAAACGTCGTATTACTAGTATTTGGTTTCTGGGGAGCCCCCTGATCATCAAACTCACTTTCACTTAGACTTGAACATTCGTTTTCACTAGAAGAACTGGATAAACTACTTTCACTCATTTCATCTTCTGAAAGACTTAGTGATTCAGATAAACAGTATTCAGGCATGGATATTTCGTGGGCAAGTCGCATTACAGTATTTTTTGATCAAAATGTGTCAATAATCCTTTCGACATCTGTCAACGACTTGCCTTTTGTAATGCGACTCTAAATTTTCCRAATCTCCAAAATTTTGTAAACCAGCCAAAACTTCAAAGACGCCGTAATGCTTAGGTGGGGCAGGATGATTTTCTGCGAACAAAAGAAACCGAATCCGGTAATGACAGATCATGTCATGTTAACAGTTAACAGATCGCTTGATCAGTATAAAATATCAAGACTCAACGTGACCCTGTCTAGTCTCCCCCACAGCCGCTTTCAGTGTCGTCACGCAACGCTTTCTCCCCTTCATTATCATCATGAATGGTCAAGGATATTACTATCAGGGAGGTTATTACAACCCTTACAATACGTATTTACCGTATCAAGCTCCATTTCAATTAAACATGGACTCACCAGCTACTACAAATCAATCTTCAAATCAGCCATCAGCAAACACTAGCCCTGGACCATCATTGTCAAGTAGTAGCAACAGCCCAGATCAAGAACTGGAACAACAGGCGCCCTCAAAAGGTAAAAAGAACCTATGACAAGTTTTCCCTTGATCAACAAAAGGCTCTAGTAAGCCTATGGGCAGAAAAGCACATCGAACTGGAGAGTAAAGATAACCGAAAAGTATGGGATGCCATCGCAGAACAAATAAACACGAAGTTTAAAATCAACCGAGCTACAGATAAGTACAAGCAAAAGATAAAGTACCTAATCGACAGATACAAAATTGCCAAAGATTGGAACAAAAAACAAACTGGTGGCCATAGGCGAGAGTCTCCCTTTTACAACGATATTTCTTACAACAAAAAGGTTTTAGGATGCCGAGACATATATCGTCACGCTAAAACATGTTTCAGATGTTGGTAGCTCATCGTCGGGCAATGCTAACAACTCATCCGATAATGATGATGTAGAGCCCGCAGAAGTTGCAAAAGGAGAAAGGACGGAGAGAAAGAAAAGTCGCAAGAGAATTAGGGCAGAGTGCGAGTGGCGAGTGCATTTGAAGGCATGAGACAGCAACGCGAGAATATGAACAAATTCATGGAAAACTACACTCGATCACAAGAGGGCAATTAGAAGTTCAGAAAATTTCTGATTTATTTAAAGTGCTACTACGACGAAAATCACTCAAACTTGGATTCAGCTGAAACTTCCTAAGAATACTCCTTAAAGGTCCAATAATCACTGTATGAAGTGTTTTTTCGATATTCAGGACGAAAGTATGATATTTTTACGATTATTTTTTTGGAGTCTGTGACGTCATACACTCAACATCGAACATCGCTCCATACATTTCTTTGTAGTTTATGATCAAAATATCAGTAGTAAAGGGAGAAAGAAATACCCAAACACCCCAAAATATAAATTATAGTCACAAGTAATGTGAAATAAGCACATTAGCCACCCTTTGGGCTTCAAAGGAATAAAATAAATTAAGGATTTATATACAAAGAAATATATGTAGCAATGTTTGATGTTGAGTGTATGAGGTAACAGACTCAAAAAAATAATCGTAAAAATATCATACTTTCGTCCTGAATATCGAGAAAACACTTCATACAGTGATTATTAGACCTTTAAAGAGTATTTTTAAGAAGTTTCAGCTGAATCCAAGTTTGAGCGATTTTCGTCGTAGTAGCACTTTCTCAGCATCATTAAGGCATGGCTCTCAGATGAAAAACTGATTAGCTATATCATAGCCAGTTTTCTACAAATCTTCCCCAAACTTGGCAAGTTAATGTCTTTTGTGAAAAGAAGGAACCTTAGAGCCTTGGTTACCATGGAAACTAAGTCACGTGACCACAAGACCGCCATCTTGGATTTTTAAACAAGCCGTTTGTAAACGTACCGAAACATCTTTAAAAGTCACGAAAATGCAGATTACTATTCATATTTACAATGCCTATATTGATCTAATTGGATATCTTAATTATTTTAAGTTTAATTTTTAGAATATTTTCTATTTTTTCCAAAAAATTAAAAATATTCTAAAAATTAAACCTAATATAATTTCCAAGATATCCAATTAGATCCATATAGGTATTACAAATATCAAAAGGAATATGGATTTTCAGGACTTTTGAAGTAGTTTCAATACGATTACAAACGATTTTTTAAAATCCAAGATGGCGGCCTTGTGGTCACGTGACCTGGTTTCCATGGTAACAGATATGCGGTAACTGCTTGCCTTGAAGAATTACTACTACTAGCCAAATTTCGGAAAGATTCATAGTAAACTGTCAAAGATATGAATAAATAACTGATTTTCCATCACTTCCTCAAAAGAGTCATGCCTTAATGGTGCTGAGTTAACAACTGATCATTTAGCAACACGTCCTTGAAGACCGGCATTTGATTCTTTAGAAATATTCAAGAGAAAACTAAAAACATTTTTGTCCAATTTGTAACTTTAATCTACTTTATCACTTAACAATTCATCGTTATATTTGTAAAGCGCATTGAGAATTTTAGAATATATAATGCGCCTATATAAGAACATATTTATTATTAATATTATTATTATTGTTATTATTATTGTAGGTCTTTTACTAAAAACATAGGAACTTAAATCATCATAACCAGTCACTTCAACTGATTGTAGAACTGATTGACCTGATTTGCATTCCAAGCATCTTTATTTTACTTATAGCGCTCAAATCAATTTCGCATAATTTGTAACATGAGTTGGGAACTGGCTTCTCATCCAATAGGAAAAAAGCGCGCGAAGAAATGAATCATTTCATCAAAGAATTCCACTGCTTGCAATCCATTCAACGTTCTTTTACACTGTATTCTCTGTATTCAAGCGCTTTTTAACGATTGTACAATTATGACACTGTTTTATGCTGTCGAATTTCCGTGCGAAGAAGATGAGAAATCTAGAGGTCCATTCGTAATAACCAAATCGAGGATAAGAGACTGTGGAGACCAAAGGGTAGTAGTTGAGTGGGATGTCGTGGATTCGTTTGGGAACATTCAAAAGAAAGACTATGAAGGAATTTCGCTAATGCAAGGCACTAAAAAAGAATGCACTGACTTCATTGATCGTTTAAGGATAAGCCGGCAACAAGCAGAAATCAATAATAAGGAAAGCAGGACCCGCAAAAAAACCTTCCAAACTGAACGATTACATCACTTTAGAAGAAGAAGACTGCAAGACTCCTAAAACAGGTACAGCTTCTTTGGCCAAATGTGATCAGTCAAGAGCTCTGAAGTTGATGTTCATACGAAGAAATACAATAAACAAAACTATCAACATCGAGAAAGAAAGTTGACTGCCAAGAAATTCGTACATTTTCAAGTTCTTCGGATGACTCCAGTGATGATGATTGTATGAGTGCCAGAGAAAAGAAGGAGAAATCCGATTCGAAGAAAAAAGCTCCGACGGGGGCGGAAAAAAGTCTTACTCAACATCGAGAAAGAAAGTTGACTGCCAAGAAACGAAAAATTCCTACAATTTCAAGTTCTTCGGATGATTCACTTGATGATGACTGTATGAGTGCCAGAGAAAAGAGAGAGAAATCAAAGGGGAACAAAAAAGAGACGGGAGCGAAAAAAAAGCCGATAAAAAGTCTCACTTCTCAAAAAGCACTGATGGATGAAAACGCCGACAAGCAATCAATGGATATAGAGAAGGAACGACAGAAATCCTTGACCGTCAAAGTCAACAAAATTCATGGACATGAAACAATTGAATTTACAGTGAATGTGAAGTCTGACATAACTGTCGAGGAATTGAAGAAAAAGCTCTCCGGTACTACTGGAATACCAGAAGAAGAAATAATTCTGATGATTCGCGGTGAGTCCTGTCGTGACCTTCATGTAAAGATAAAAGAGATTTGGTCACCTCAAGATATTATTGGGGTAATACGTTCTACTGATCCTGATGTCACAAGTGTCAAGTCGGACACTTCATTCGATGGTAAGTCACGCTATTCTCTATACTATAATGTACGAGATTATCCCATGTCTCAATAAAACATACTTCAAAATTGATAAAAGCAAAGTTCTATAATGAAACATAACGTAAAAATTATTGTTTCCGCACTTTTTCGCATAATTTGTCGAAAATCGCCCTTTTTCACATTGGCCGCAAAAAATTTCCGCACTTTTTCGAGATTTTTTCCCGCTCTTTTTCAGAGGCCCTATTAGTTCTATTACAAATTCTGTGATCCGACCGAATGAGTTTGAAATGAAATAAAAAAGAAACAAAAGAGAGAAAGTGAGCACTACATCACAATGAATTAATATTCGAACAGTAATCTTCTACATAAAACAATTCAACAATAGAAAGTTGAAAAAAATTTAGGTTTGAACGGTTACAGTAACCTTAATTTCGCGAATTTGACGTGCCCATTTTTCGCAACACGTCAATGTCGTGATATTGAGATATTTTTTGATATCACGGAAATTTAATGTATACAATAAGTTAATTTTGACTTCAAAGCATAACTTTGTGTGTAACTAAGTAACTAAGTAACTAAGACATTAATTTATTGGTGTAAACATTTTCTTTGCCCCAAGGAACCCAGTTTGATGATGATAATTGGATTGGTAAGGAAGAATATCCAAGTACAGAATTTGATGGCACTTCCCTTGATGCCAATAAAACCGGTGAGCATTGTAATACTGCTCAAATATTTAAATACCATGAACGTTATGTTACACGCGACGTTTTTCATCAACGATTTTTTTCGATACGCCTTTGCGCAAACGACTAGTCAGCGCTACTGAGTAGAGTGCATTCATTATATCCGTGAAACACATTTCAATTTGATAAAAATTCAGAAACTCAATAATAATTTATTATGCATAATTTTTTGGCCAATTTATTATTTTGACATGCCTTGTATGATTGCCTCGCAAAATTAGCATGCCTATGCTGAAAGTGCCTCACATGGCTCGCATGACTCACTGATTTTTTTGGCCCCTTTCAATAACATTTTTTGCCGCACACTTACCCTATAAACATTTTCTTTAAGGATGAAAAAAAAGACTGACTATCATTGATATTAGTTTTTATAATTTTTCAAAATCAATTTCAGATATTGAAAGTCAAGTGAAGAATTTCAGCAGTGGGGATTTTGCCACGAAAGAAGAAATAATGTTGATCTCAAAAGAGATCAAGGAGATGCAACAACAGCTTTACAAAATGGAGCACCTCCTCAGAGGATTTGCATCCTGTAAGCAATGCGTCAAGAGATTTTACAAAAATGCAAAAGAGGATAACTCAACAGGCTCTGTAGTGAAGTCACTTCATACTCAATTCCAACCGCCACTAACACCTGATCACCACCAATCACCTGCAGCGCATGCCGATCACCAATCACCAATACCCGAGCATAGCATAATCACTACAACCAGCTGCAAGGCAGCCTCATCTGGATTACCAGAATCTGATGCAAAACCTGATTTGGTGATGCTGGGAAATCCTAAACATGGAATATGTGTAAACAAAGACACCCTCAGCAAAATAAGCAACACGAAAGCTAAAAACTATGCACTAAAGCTATTTGAGGTTTTATTCAGCCGTGAGGAAGCTGCAATAATAATAATAAAGACTTTATTTCAACAGGGTAGCCCTTTCAGCAACTAGGCTGATATCCATAGGGGCCCTGCATATAAAACAATAAACTAATTACAAACTATAAAAATATATACTTCACTATATACAAACTAATTCTATGATAAAATCTGAAAAAATCCTAACTAATAATTATATAAAATTTAAATTTAAGAATAACATGTACCTAGAAAAAAAAACTATATATGTTATATGTCTAAAATAAATAAAAAAACACGAAACTTTTAAGCTAAGTAATACTTTTTTAGGCGACTCTTAAAAATACTTAAAGATGAAATATCCTTAATATCTCTAGGTAGTGTATTGA